TTGCTAGATATATGATTGTTTTAAGGGGAGGTGGAGAATAGCTGTGGAAAAAAGCCAGACTGAAAACGTTTCACAGACTGAATTGGAAGAAATGGGCATTTTTTTGGCTTCCTTTCCCAACTCATCTTCTAAGCTTTTCTGATGTCCTGCACGTTCATCACTGGCATATATTTAAAGCTTTAGGATGGGCAGGCGTTTCTTTTTTTCTGATTAGCCAAGGGGATACAGGACAGAGACAAATATTTTTCCCCAAAGAAATGCTAGTTGCAATTCAGTCCAATCTAAATTAGGAAGCAGTGATGAGCTTCTGGGCTGAAAGCTGACTGAGATCCAGGTTTTTAACAGAATAACAGAGCTGGAAGGGACTTTGGAGGTGTTCTAGTTCAACCTCCTGCTTAAGCAGGCAACCCTATGCCATTTCAGACAAATAGTTGTACAATCTCCTCTTAAAAATCTCCCGTGTTGGAACACCCACAACTTCTGGAGACAAGTTGTTCCACTGATTAATTGTTCTCAATGTCAGGAAGTTTCTCCTTAATTCTTCCTTGCTTCTCTCCTTGATTAGTTTCCATCTGTTGCTTCTTGTCCTGCCTTAAGGTTTTGTTTTTGTTTTGTTGTTGTTGTTTGGCTTTGGTTTTTTGTCCTGATGTTTGTCCAGCTGCTGTATCTTCAGAGGCAGAATGAACTGTTTTGCAGGGTACTTTTTGCCAGCTCACAGGTCAAAGTGCTATAGTGGAGCACCACAAAGCAGCTCACTCTTCTTTCAACCCCAAAGCTCATCACTGGTCCGTTGATGCTGGTCATGAAAGACTCCACCAGTATAATCTGAGCTTCCTGTGTGGTAAAACAGGAAGAACAGCCGATAACATTTTAAGGAAGTCTAATTTTGCCTGACTAGTAATTTATTAAGTGATCCCCAAATTCATTCACAATTTGTGAGAATTTTTTCACACGCTAGCTGACTTTCAGAAGATTCGTTTCCACTAATTTTATTTTAATAAAACACAAAGGGGGAAAAAAGCAATAGAAACTTTCTCTTGTTGATTTTGCTTATCTCCAGGATAGGAAGTCTTCTTGCTATGTGAAAAATATGAGTTTTATTATTTTGCTTTTTTTAAATACAGTAGTACATTAACTTGACATTTCAAAAGTGGAAGAAATAAACAGCATAGTGCCATCATTTCCATTCCCTTGATCCTCAAAGAACATGACTTTCGTGGGGATTATGGGAGTAGAAGTCCAACACATCTGGAGAATGTTGAGGAAAGTGGGAAAAAGGTACATGCTATATTTGAGAAGGATCCAAACTTTAGTAAATGGGATGTAAAAAAAATGACAATAAAGGTTATCTTATATCTTGTCTTGTCTTGTCTTGTCTTGTCTTATCTTATGTGCAGCAGCATTTTACAATTAAGTGCTTTCTTTCAACTGTCTGCACTTCCAGCTTCCATTCCTTTCTGCCTATCTTCCCTAATTGACATTCAGCACATATGACTGAGCCAGTCCTAATTGCCAAGGAGATGGAGCAAGTGCAAAGCAATACATATTGGTGCCCCAACTCTTAACTACTCATACAAACTAACTGGATCAGGGCTAGCAGTGACTGTTGAGGAAAGACACCTTGGGCCATTGTAAACAGTTCAATGAAGGTCTTAACAGTGTGTGCATCTGCTATAAAAAAAAGACCACAGCATGTTAGAGATAATAAGAAGTGACACTGAAAATAGAGATGTCCATATCATTATGCCCTTATACTGTAAATATCAATAGTGTAACCGCAATCTGGAAAATTGGGTGCAGTTCTGGTTACTTCACCTTAAAAGGAATATAGTGAAGCTAAAGCTTCAGGAGAGGGCAATTAAGATGACCAAGGGGGCGGAGCATCTTCTCTATGAGAAAAGACTGTGACATTTGGTTATTTTATGATGTGGAAAGAATGCAAATGAGATGGCACACGATTGAAGCATTGTGGTACCTTGGTACTCAACTGCTTTGAAACTCAATGCATTTTGATGCGAAAATTTTGTCCCGCTACTCATCATTTGTTTGGTACTCAATGTACAGGTTAGAACTTCTCAGTGTTGGCTGCCTTGTGACTCACTATATTATTCCTTATAGGAAAAATTTATTTGGTGCTCATCATTTTTGGTACTCATTGTGCTTCCTGGAACCAATTCACGATGAATATTGAGGTATCGCTACATACTATGTATACAAAATGATACATAGTATGGCTAAAGCTCTTTTTCCCTTTCCAAAGTACTAGAACCAGGCATTTCCCAAAGAAATTGAATTCTGGGAAGATTCAGTACAAACAAAGGGATTTTTTTTGTATATATGCAACATGTAATTAAACTGTGAAATTCATTATCATAAGAAGTGGTGATGGATACCAGCTTGGCTGGCTTCAACAAGGATTGCATCAATTTATGGAAGTCAAGGGGAGCCATAGCTATTTGTCTTGATGGGCTTCTTTGCGCAATTAGTTGGCATGGTGAAGGAAGACTGCAGGACTAAATGGGCCAGGGGCTTAATCCAATTAATGTTCTAACTAAACTGTCGGGCACAAGAAATCAGGAACCAGATTTTGTTCAAATGAGTACAAGTTTATTCCATGCTACCTCTAAACAAGAATCTGAACTATAGGTAGTCCATGACTTACAACAATTTGTTTAGTGACTATTCGAAGTTACAATGACACCAGAAAAAGTGACTTCTGACCATTTTTCACACTTACAATCCTTGCAGCATGTCCATGGCCACGTGATCAAAATTCAGACACTGGGCAACTGACTCATATTTATGATGGTTGCAGTGTCCCAGGATCCTGTGATCCCCTTTTGCGACCTTCTGACAAGTGAAGTCAATGGGGAAACCAGATTCACTTAACAACTTTGTGATTAACTGAACAGCTGCCATAACTGTGTTACTTCACTTAACAATTGAGGCAAGAAAGATTGTAAAATCACTTAATAACTGTCTCATTTAGCAACAGTTTTGGTCGTATGTCAACGACTTCCTGTAGTAACAGTTGTTGTGATTCCGTGCCAGCCTGTGCTCCCAACAGCTGAGTCTGAGGAATCTGAGGAGGAGGTGGAGGAGGCATTTGAAGGGCCATCAGGGGCAGAGGGAGGCTCTGATGAATTACAGGACTCACGGTTTGATGCAGAGCCTGGGCCCTCCAGTCGTGTTCCTGATGAAGCTCAGCTGTGTGAGGAGAATGAGTCAGACTCAGAGGACTCACACCTGATGGACTTGCTAATTGATGCTCGCACACGTCAATTAGCGAGAGTAAATCAGCAGCACGCAATACGGCAACTCCAGAGTAAAAGGAGAAGGCAATGAGAGGCAATGCCTTGGAACTGCTGTATAAAAAGAGGCAGTGTGGGCAGTGCTGGTTGCTGAAGGCAACTGTTTGCAAAATACTTCTTGGAATCCTGGTCTGTTCGTCTTGCTTGTGACTACTCTTCTGTTTGCATCATGTTTCCTGTGGACTATTTCCTTCATTTGGATTTGAGTTTTGCTGTTTGTGTTTAGACTATTTGGCAGGTTTGTCACCCATATTAAAAGGGGTTTGTTTTGTTTTAAACTCTCCAGCCTATTTTATCAACAGGGGTTTGGTCCTTGTGCCTTTAACAAGGACAGCAATAGGCTGGGATAGAACAACAGTCAAGGCAAATTGGTGGTATATAATAGTCAATGGAATTCAAGGAGGGCTGCACTTAGATCAATTTGTGGGCATAAAGGGACTCCAAACTGATAGCGCACTTGACCCCTCCCTCGGGCTTTATTATTATTTAGTGTATGATGAGAACATGACAGAAGAGAAGTAAACATATATACACAATCTACATAATTATAAGTAAAAGTTCTATGGGGGGATTGCAGTGGCCTCATAACTGGATGTCCAATTCAGCTATCCAAGCGATCACCTCTGGCATTGTTTCGTACAGATCTTCAGAGAACGCACGTTGTGGGCAATCTTGCACAATATGATCAATAAGTTTGCCTATAAGCACCACAATTGCAACAAGAGGAATTTTTCCATCCCTACTAATACAGGGCAAAGGCACTTCTTCCAGTATCACATCTAATTCTGTTCATTTTGACCAGACAAAGTGAGGGAGTTCAAAACCAGGTGGTTTGGCAGAGGGATCACTAATGAGGGATCACAAAAAGATATCTTGGACCATTCCTCTCTCCAAGCACTCTTGGGGTTAAACTGATGTTAAGCGAATAGCTGTTTTCCATGCTGGCCTATTGGATTGCCATGCTGGCCTATTGGATTTCAATCTTGTGATGGGGTACACATTATCCTGGTGAACAGGGACGGCCTAGTTGTTCAGCATCCTTGACCATAGCTGAATGAGAGCTTGTTGTCTTCTCTTGTAGGGATGTATGATACTGCTAAGTACTAATAACCAGTGTATTCTCTCTTGGGCACAGCCTGGTCATCTCCTACATGAACCTTAATTATTATTTTTTTCACATGGAAGATGCATTTCTGTGATGAATGTCTGCATCTTGACCAAACAGTAACAAATGAGCTCGATAGCTAATTCTAATGGCTTTTCCCCAAAGTTTTCCATCCTATACACTTAAAATGTTGTACCCAAAGAGAGTTTGAACACTTAGCTTTGGACAACAGTCTCACACATTAGTCTGGTTTATTAAACAAGGCACAATTTGCTGAGTAAAAACCACATGCTGACATAGTATAAATTACAACCTGCAAACCACAATGCAAATCACAAAACGCTAAGCCCAAAGTTAACAAGCCCTGTGGGAATCCTGCTGGTAGTGAGAATCGAGCTCCTATGAGGCAGAACTTTGCAGAAGATCTACTGAGGTCCTAAGAAGCTGGGCATGAATCCATCCTTCAAGTTTCCGTTTCTCTCCGACCAACCTAGCAGAAAATGACAGGGATTACATTGGAAAATTACTCATTTTTATTACCCAGCCACCCAATCTCTGCAGATAATAAATATTTGCAAACCTACCTAGAAAATCCCTAACTGCTTCCTCCTTTTGATATCCCTCTTGAGTTGGCAAAGGTTACAGGGACCGCAGAAAGTGACTATGAGGCAGTCTGAGCAGATCGTTCCCTGAGGAGAAAAAAAAAAAAGAGAGAGAGAGAGAGAGAGAGAGAGAGAGAGAGAGAGAGAGAGAGAGAGAGAGAGAGAGAGAGATCACAATCTGGAGTCAATCCAGTCCTGTATTTTGAACTATGGTTTACAGTACACAATGAAAAAACACCCAAAGTTGGCTCTGAGCAGTATTTCTCTGGGTATTTCTGTCTTCCCCGTCATATTCCTAGGTGTGACTGATGCTTGTTTCTCTGGGAAACCCACAAAAGACACAGTCCAGCCTCGTTAAACTGGGCAGAACGTAAGGCAAAGTAGCAGATATGGGATATAATAGATACTTTGGAACAGGTTTCGAATCAACACGTACCATAAACACTGCAGAAAGCAACACCTAACAAATCTTGGCAGATAGCAAAAAGGCTGAGTAGACCTGGATTAGGTTGGCTGAAGATTGGTTGAGGAAGCCCAAATAATATCCCAGAAGTCTTGGACATTTAACAGAATAACAGAGTTGGAAAAGACATTGGAAGTCTTCTAGTCCAACCCCCTGCTCAGGCAGGAAACCCTGTACCATTTCGGACAAATACTTGTCCAATCTCTTCTTAAAAACTTTCAGTGTTGGACACCCACAACTTCTGGAGGCAAGTTCTTCCACTGATTAATTGTTCTCACAGTCAGGAAATTTCTCCTTAGTTCAAGATTTCTTCTCTCCCTGATTAGTTTCCATCCATTGCTTCTTGTCTTGCCTTCAGGTGCTTTGGAGACTAGATTGACTCCCTCTTCTTTGGGGCAGCTCCTTAGATTTTGGAAGATTGCTATGATGTCACCCTAGTCCTACTTGTCATTTGGATAATTCCCAGTTGAGTTTCCCCCGAGTATTCTCCCAGTTAATTCCTACATGCAGATCACAGCAAGTGCACACCCCACTCAGATCAGGTTGCAAAAATTATTGCTAGATATATATTTATTAAACAGGAACAAACATCTCAAAGACTTTGTTCACATGAGGCAAAATTCAAAAGCAGGGAAAGAGACATGAACTATGAAGAGATTAACAGGTCAAAGTACTTGATATATTATCGGATAATAAATAACTCTTTGGATAAAAACATAGTTCCAAAGGGAGTGGCCTTTTGTTATTCTAGCTTTGATCCTTTGTGTAGCAGTAGCAAAATAGAAATGGAAAGTAGGACACCAGGGGATCCCTCCTTCATCCTGCAGTTCGTAAAGGAAATAATTTGGTGGGTATCCAACAAGAAGGAAATAGGAAACCAGTTACATGTTGCTATCAAAAGAACCTGACAATTCTTTTTAGAAGTACATGAGATCTCCAGAAGTCAAGCTCAGTTCAAGGGAGATTATATGTTCATATTCCAAAGTGCATGTAAAACATTACATTGGGTGGAGCATGCTATGCCTATGCCTATGGCAGGAACAATCACCAGTGACATGACTGTGGCTTTTGTACACTTGAAACTAAGAACTTTGAAACTATAGTGAAATAAATAAGTGCCTCTCTCTTACAGTGGAACCATTTTGTAGTGTCTCATGATAGACACACCGTGTTTCCCCAAAAATAAGACCTACCCCAAAAATAAGGTATAGCTTGATTTTTACATGTGCGCCCAATATATACCTACCCCCAAAATAAGCGCTACTTAAGTCCCCTCCCACTCCAATGCACCTGGTTATACAAGGTGGGCTGAGGCGCAAAGGTAAAATCAAGCTAGGGCGGGGATGGAGGGGTGGAGCTGCCCCACATGCCCTGCACCCACTTATCTTAGGACAGTTGCAGCCAGGCCTCCCACACCCTGAGACGTGCCTCATCTCACAAGCCCACTTCTTCTGCACCACTCACCACTACTCACGTGCATCGGCCCTGGCCTCCATTTTGCCAGCAAAGGCCTTCAGGAAAGGCCTCTGCAGCCAAGAAACAAGCTCTGGATTGATGTGCACAGCATCCCCTGAGCCTCCATTTCACCATCAGAGGCTTCAGGAAAGGCCTCTGTGGCTGAGAAACAAGCTTCAGATTGATGCGCGCGGTGTCCCCCGACCTCCATTTTGCTGTGAGAGACCTTTCCTGAAGGCCTCCACCAGTAAAACAGAAGCCAGAGGTGACACACCTGAGCGGCAGTGACCGGCCGCAGAAAAAGTGGGCTGGTGAGGTGAGGTAGGTGTCAGGGCATAGGAGGCCTGGCTGTGGTGGTCCTAAGGTAAGCAGGTAAGACATCCCCTGAAAATAAGACCTGGTGCCTCTTTTGGAGGAAAAAAAATATAAGACTGGCTCTTATTTTCAGGGAAACATGGTAGTTAATTTCTTGTCAGAGTGAGGTTGGAGAGGGCACAGAAAACTGGGACACTTTGTTCTTCAATTCTACAAAGCCAAACAAGAGAGGACCAGTTTTAGCTTCTTGTTCATGCTGTTGGTCTCAGTTGGTCGCAGTTCCTGTGTGGTTCTATGGAGCATCCTTTAGCCGTAGGGACAATGGATAGGGACAATGGAAGGACTTCTAACAAGACATCTTCCCCCTTCTTAATACATCTCTAACCATCCCATTGTAGAGTTGTCCTGTTCTCTAAACACTAGTAGAGAAGCTTGGTTGTTTTCTTGCAGATGTTTCATAAGCCAAACTAGGTAACATCATCAGTTCTTGGGTAATGAGATGTTTACAAGAAAACAACCAAGCTCAGAGAGCACTAAGGACCCCAAATTTCAACCCTGAGCTTCAAATATTTTCCTTTATTGGTACCAGTCTAAGGGTATTGACTGCCCAGGCCATCCTCCTTAGGCTTTAAAGACATTTGAGCACTAGGCTACAGACCGGTTCTGTCTCTAGCACTTCCCATATGTCAACCACAGTAACCTTTCCTCACTGTATATAATTTTCATAAAAGTAGCCACAGGAATATTTGACAACCTAGGAACCAAGTGGCACCTTAAAGATAAATAAATGCCTCATTAAGTAAGCTACTATGGATCAAAATACACTTCATTGTATGGACAATGATTTGCGCAAATATAAGCATGAGTATATTTGTTGATCTTTAAGATGAAAGTTCATTGCTGTTTATTCTGAGTAACTGAAAGTTCTGGTTCCCAAACAATTTTATACTACGTTCCAAATCAACAATTAAAGCAACAATAAAAAAAAAGAAAATGCATACTGTAATAAATGCGTCAGTCTTGAAAATAAAACCTCTGGCCATATCCTAAGGATACCCTTGAGCTTTGAAGAATAAATAAACTAAAGTGCAAATTAACAAACTAAGTTCCTGGATTTTATGAGAAAGGGAAACAGCATGCTCAGGAACTGGTAATCCTTTATGGGCTTTTCGCTGAAAGCAGAAAAAAATGAACTTACGATTCATTTTGGTGATTAGAAAGGGAAGAATATGGAAAGAAGGGAGCCACAATGGAAGCTTAGAGAGATTGGATAAAATGTAAATGCATTTATGACTTTTGTAAAAAAAATAAAAAAAAAATTAGAAGCCTATATATACAGGTAGTCCTTGACTCACAGCCACAACTGAACCCAACATTTCTGTTGCTAAGCAAGGTAGTTGTTAAGTGAGTTTGCCCCATTTTATGACCTTTCTGACCACAGTTGTCAAGTCAATCGCTGCAGTTATTGGTAACATGGTTGTTAAGTGAATTTGGCTTCCCCGTTGACTTTGCTTGTCAGAAGTTTGCAAAAGTTGATCACATGACCCCAGGACACTTGAACCATCATTAATATAAGCCAATTGTCAAGTGTCCAAATTCTGATCACTTGACTGTGGAGATATTGCAACGGTCGTAAGTGTGAAAAATGGTCATAAGTCCCTTTTGCAGTGCCATTGTAACTTCAAATGCTCACTAAATGAATGGTTATGTTGAGGACTATCTGTATTTTTCTTTCTCTGATTTTTCTTTTTTCTCTTCTTATTTATTTATTACTTTTACGTTTAAACTTGTATTGTTTTTACTTTGCAAAAAAAACCCCACCCTTTTAAAAAAATGAAATTAATTAAAAAAGAGAAACATCATGATGATCAACGAATTTACCGGAATTCTGTACAACGTCCGATAGCGTGTCCTCATGGCCACACTAGGACCACAGCAACAGCACTCGTCCATGTCTTTGGCAATTATGCAACCCAAGCAACAGTAGCAGAAGGCTCCACACAGACCTAGGGAAGTGATCAAAGAAAACTTATCTTTATAATCTCAAGTGAAAGGAAAACTTCTCTGCTTGTTCTTAGAACAGAATTCTCCAAGCTGGTGCTTCCAGAAGGGTGAGGACTACAAAATATGTAGACATGGCTAATAATTCTAACCATGATGTCTCAGAATTGTCATCCCCACCCTTCCTGAAGACTCAACGTTTGAGAAGTTGTTTAGGAAGGCATATTTAGACTTTCATAATAGCCTCACATGAACCAGAAATTTCCAGCTGCATTGTGTCACTGTTTTCTAGATCAACGAAGTGTTCGTGACTTAGAGCTCTTGCTTATGAATATATGGAATTATTACTTGTTAGCAAGAGGTAAGTCACACCAATGGGTGTGTCGCTTAAGAATTCCTACGTTGCAATCACCCATGAGAAGTTTTGCAAGCTATCATCCCACACTTCATCAGCAGGATGGGCCCTGCATTCTTCTTACATGGTGACTAGGTACTTCTAGGAATTAAGTTCACACATCTTAAAGTTGCCAAAGTTGAGAAACACTGAAGAAGATGGATAGGCTCAGTTACAGTGGCTATGGGTACATTATTAATAGGGACATTAAGGAGACTGGTAAAGGTATTTGTGAAGATAACTCAAATAAGCAGGGGATTGTGGTCCGAGATGAAGAACTAGATTTTGACAGGGAGAAGTGTGAATCAGGTATTGCACATCAGTCATGCAAGAATAGAAAGGCTCCCAAAAAGAGAAGCTACCTTCTGGTAGGTGATTCAATTATAAGGGATGTAAATTTAGGAAAGGACACAGAGGCTTTGAAAGAGGTCAGGTGTCTTCCAGGTGCTACTGCCAGTAGGGACAAGAAGCGTATTTCTAAAATAATCAAGAATTGCAGCAAGGACTGTGATGTGGAGGCTATTGTACATCTTGGCACTAATGATCTGTCCCAAAAAGATGTACTCTCTGTGCAGAATGATTTCCAGAGATTGGGGAAGGAACTTAGCAGAATAGGCTGTAGGCTTACTTTCTCAGAGGTTTTACCAGTGTATAAGGAGCAAAACGGAAAAGGCCATCGCATAGCACAATTCAATATGTGGCTAAAGGAATGGTGTAAAGGGGAAGGCTTTGGATATATTAGTCACGATGTCAGTAGCTGGTCCAATCAAAAGATGTACAAAAGAGATGGTTTGCATCCATCAAAAAAAGGGACTGAGTTACTCGGCTATAAATTCACAGATTTTCTGGAGGGAAATTTAAACTACACAGCGGGGACAGGGAGCTAATTGATACAGAACAACCCTGTCCCTGGCAATTTAAAAACTATAGGGCTATCAGTGCATGTAGCATAGATGTGTGTGTGGACAAGAATACCAACCTTGCTACCAATCAAAATGAAGCCTCGAATAGCGAGTGCCACATAAAGTGCACTAACCAAATAGGTGGTAAGACAATAGGGGAACTCAGGCACCACACAGGTTATGTAGAAAGGACACACAGGGCCACTCACAAAGGACTCAAATGTTTATACACCAATGCACAGAGTATGAACAGCAAACAGGGTGAACTAGAAATTCAGGTTAATGAGGGCAGATACGATATTGTTGCCATTACGGAAACATGGTGGGATGAAACCACACATGGAACACACAGCTAGAGGGATTTAAATTATTTAAAAGAAACAGACCAAATAAAAGAGGAGGTGGAGTTGCTCTCTATATAAGAAATAACTACATCTCCACAGAAATAGAGCACAACAATGATAAAAACTGTCTTGAATGCATTTGGGTCAATATAAAAGGGGGGGGGGAAATGACATTGCCAGAGGTGTATACTACAGACCACCCAACCAAACAGAGGAAATAGATGAACTTTTTGCTAGTCAGCTAACTAAGGTATGTAGGAAGCACATCACAATAGTAATGGGGGACTTTAACTACCCTGACATCAACTGGGAGACAAACTCCACACCAAGTGGAAGATCAAACAGGTTCCTGGCAAACCTAGCAGACAACTTTGTCTCCCAAAAAGTAGAGAAGGGAACTAGGGGATTAGCCATTTTGGATCTAATTCTCACTAACAGAGATGAAATGATAGACGGTGTTGAAGCCATAGGAACCCTGGGAGGAAGTGATCATGCAATATTAGAATTCAACATTATAGAAGCACAACCAATCGAACACAGTCAAACTAGAGTCTTGGACTTCAAGAGAGCTAATTTCAATAAACTTAGAGAGGGCTTGGGAAGGATTCCATGGATGAGAATCCTCAAGGGGAAAACACCTCAAGAAGCTTGGGAAATTTTGAAAAATGAGATAATAAAAGCACAGTCTAGCACAATACCAACAAAGAGGAAAAATAACAGCTCTCAAAAGAAACCAGCATGGCTGCATAAAGAACTCTCTGACAAATTGAAAAATAAAAAGGACAAGTATAGAAAGTGGAAAGAGGCGAACATAACTAAGTCAGAATATCAGCAAATAGCCCGAGCCTGCAAAGATGAAGTGAAGAAAGCCAAGGCTCAAAATGAACTGAGGCTTGCGACCAAAGTCAAAAATAACAAAAAAAAGCTTCTTTCAACATGTAAAAAACAAGAAAAAAGTGAAGGAAATGATTGGTCCATTAGTGGGTGGAAGTGGCAAGAAGGTGACAAGCAACAGGGAGAAAGCAGAACTATTTATCTCATTTTTTGCATCTGTCTTTACACAAAGGGAAAAAACAGACCAACCTATCAAAAATAGTGCCACAAAAAACAAAACAGAAACACAAGTTAAGATAGGCAAGAAAATCGTTAGTGAGCACCTGTCCAGCCTAGATGATTTCAAATCGCCAGGACCAGACGGATTACACCCCAGAGTTCTCAAGGAACTGGCAGATGTGATATCGGAGCCACTGAACTATATTTTTCAAAGATCCTGGAACACAGGGGAACTACCAGAGGACTGGAAAAGAGCTGATGTAGTTCCCATCCTCAAAAAAGGAAAAAAAATGTATCCAGGAAATTACAGACCTATCAGCCTGACCTCAATACCTGGGAAGATCCTGGAAAAGATAATCAAACAACGAATCAACGAACACCTAGAGGCAAACAAAGTCATTACTAAAAGCCAACATGGGTTTGTCAAAAATAGATCATGCCAGACAAATCTTATTGCATTCTTTGACCAAGTGACAAAATTAGTGGATCAGAGGAATGCTATGGACAAAATTTACTTGGACTTCAGTAAGGCATTTGATAAAGTAGATCACAACCTACTACTTGACAAGATAGAAAAATGTGGGGTAGACAGAACCACCACCAGATGGATCCTTAGCTGGCTGACCGGCCGTACTCAGCGAGTGGTCCTCAATGGAACTGCATCTATATGGAGGGAAGTGTGTAGTGGGGTGCCCCAGGGCTCTGTTCTGGGCCCAGTACTCTTCAACATCTTCATCAATGATTTGGATGAAGGGATAGATTGGGAACTCATCAAATTTGCAGACGACACCAAGCTGGCAGGAATAGCCAACACTCCAGAAGACAGGCTTCAGATACAGAAGGATCTGGACAGACTTGAACACTGGGCACTAACTAACAAAATGAAATTCAATGGTGAAAAAAGCAAGGTTCTACATTAGGCAAGAAAAACCAAATGCACAAGTACAGCATAGGTGGCACCATGCTCAATAGTAGTAACTGTGAGAGGGACCTCGAAGTCCTAGTAGACAATCACCTAAATATGAGCCAGCAGTGTGCTGCAGCTGCCAAAAAGGCCAACACAGTGCTAGGCTGCATTAACAGAGGGATAGAATCAAGATCACGTGAAGTATTAATACCACTCTTCAATGCCTTGGTAAGGCCACACTTGGAATACTGTATCCAGTTTTGGTCACCACAATGTAAAAAAGATGTTGAGACTCTAGAAAGAGTACAGAGAAGAGCAACAAAGATGATTAGGTGACTGGAGGCTAAAACATATAAGGAACGGTTGCTAGAATTGGGTATGTCTAGTTTAACGAAGAGAAGGACAAGGGGGGACATGATAGCAGTATTCCAATATCTCAGGCTGCCATAAAGAAGAAGGAATTAAGCTATTTTCCAAAGCACCTGAAGGCAGGACAAGAAGCAACGGGTGGAAACTAATCAAGGAGAGAAGCAACCTAGAACTAAGGAGAAACTTCCTGACAGTGAGAACAATTAATCAGTGGAACAGCTTGCCTCCAGAAGCAGTAAATGCTCCCAACACTGGAAGTTTTTAAGAAGAGACTGGACAGCCATTTGTCCGAAATGGTGTAGGGTTTCCTGCCCGAGCAGGGGGTTGGACTAGATGACCTCCAAGGTCCCTTCCAACTTTACTACTACTATTACTATTGGAAGGACCGAGTTAGAGACAGTTTGCCCTGGAAAAAAATCTATTTATGTGGTTGCTTAAAACTGACACTTGCTTAATGACACATAATTAATCAATTAAACTTATTCTGGACTTCTGAGTCCATCACACATTGACAGGTATTGAATGCAGAGAGTCTTTTTTTTTCTCACAGTTAAATTAATGTTTAAAGGAAGGACAATTCAAGAACAAAGCTACAAAAGGAGATAAACTCCATCACGTAAGAATTCACTCACAGATGTTACAGTCATCGCCGCAGTCACAGAGTTCTGTCTGCCACTCAAAACTCCTTGTGGCACAGTGACGTTGTGGTTGAGTGACAATAGGCGATAACTCCATGGTACCACTTATGGCAAGATGCTCCAATCTAGTGTGACAAAGTAAACACCCATTAAAGATTTGGCAAAATGCAACTGGACATTTACCATGTCTCTTCCACCCAAATTTTCTGAATAAACTTAGTAGCTAGGATAGAGATGGCCAACGTGATGTCCCAGGATTGAAAACTGGCCGCTGAGACTTTATTTGCAGCCTCTCCAGTGCACAACGTGCCCCCTTTCTCCCATTTTTAACATCCACATTTAACTATAGATAGAGAGATCATCCATCAGCATGCTATATAGTGATATGGCTGAACAGATTTACATTCCTAACACATGAAGAGATTCACCATATTCATTCTTCCTATCATGATTTCAGGAATAGGAGAGGATGCCCCTTGGTGAAGCTGTCAATTATCATGTTTCCTCTCTATTACTAAAATAATTTGAACTTCATTGACCTACTTCTAGAACTATTCTCCCTGTCACAGGCTCTGTCTTTGATTTGGCTGAGTAAGAAAGACCCAGCTTCTTCATCTGAGTTCCTAATTTTTTCCCAAGTTTCTGCTTTTTTAGAGATGCTTTCTGTTTTGTTGTTTCTGTTGAAGAGCACAGGACTGTCTTGTGAATAACTCGTGGATCTCTGGAAAATGCAAACACTGCTTAGCTTTACTGGCAATCTTATGAGCTAGACCAGTGGTTCTCAACCTGTGGGTCAGGACCCCATTTGGGGTCGAACGACCATTTCACGGGGATCGCCAAACAACGCAGTCCACTATTTTTTCCCCCCTTTTCCATAGCTGTGCTACTCCCTTTTATTCTATTGGCTTTTGAAAGCCAATAGAATAGACTCTCTTGAATAGAGTCTAATTCTATTGGCTTTCAAAAACCAATTGGAATTGTCCAGGCTGTCTCTGCCTGCTGAGCCCGCCAAAAGTCCCATTCTGCAAACAGTTCTGCACCAGTTGAGTAGTCCTCGACTTACAACCGGTTGAGTAGTCCTCGTCTTACGACCGGTTGGGGGTCGCAGCATTAAAAAGGTTGAGAACCACTGAGCTAGACTGAATGATGGAATACACTCAATTCTTTCTTGGTACTATAAGTTGTTCCAAAAGATTAGAAACAGCAGATGACATTGGTTGCCACTCCAAATCCATTTATGGAGGAATCCTTGATTGTTCTCCATGGATTTCTAGCATTTTCTCAGATGCAGAATGAAAATTACTATGGGTATCTGGTTGCATGATAATTGTTGTTGTTTAGTTGCTAAGTTGTGTCCAACTCTTTGTGACCCAATGGACCATCAGCACACCAGACCCACATCCTCTGCTGTCTCTCTGAGCCTGCCCAGACCCATGTTCCCCACATTATCTAATCATCTCTTCCTTTCTTGTCCTCTTCTCCTTTTGCCTTCAACTTTTCCCAATATCAGGGTCTTTGCCAAGGATTACCTCTCTTCTCATTTGGTGGCCAAATTATTTGAGCTTCAGCTTCAGTTGCACGATAGATATTAATTTAATATAAGCATTACAAAATCTTCTGTGTCTTCAAAATACAACCGTATTGTCACTCCTGCTTTGTGAATATTTGAACCATTGGTCTGAAGGGCCAATTGAAAGTTCCTTAGAGCTAGCTCCAGGCCACCTATCTATCAATCTACTGAATTGGACAACTTTGAGTGTTATAGTGCAAACCATCAGGTAGTCACCAGGTTGGGAAAGACTGTTGTCAGTGATTGTAGTTGTGTAGCTCCCGATTTGCCTCATTTCATTTATTTTGCTACTGGATTTTAACTTGCAAAGTGTTGAGTAAGTGTTATTATTACAGGGTATTTGGTCCGTCTCCAACTAGTGATCACACTGAGTTTCCGGGATGCTGTAGCCAATAGCTGCAGGGGGTAAAATTCTTTTTCCTTGTCAGGAAGAGATGAAGAGTAAGACTTTTTTTTTTAAAAAAAAAAAAATCTAACAGTTGTCTGTTGAGTCACTGCTGGTTAACAGAGAAAAATATCAACTGTCCTTTTTTAAGCTATCACTTCCTTAGTAAAAGTGGGGGAAAGCAGCAGGAATGACATTTTAGTGAAGAGACCTAGATCTGCTGCATATTTTTTCCTCTTGGGAAGAATGGAATTATTCTCTACCATAACATTTGCCTAGACTGAAAAAACAGATGTATTTAAATACATTTTACTAAATTGTTTTTTGAGGTCAAGACTCTTGAGTGCTGGCAACACTCATTCTGAACTTTTGTTTTTCTGACAGCAGATTAACATTTCTGGGCAGTGTGCCTGCTTTAAATTTCTTCATTTTTATTTTCAGAATTTCATTAAGCTTTTGGAATAGTTTTGTTGGGTTTTTTTCTGCTCACCTTCATGCTTTTTCCTTCCTGAGACTTACATTTATTATTCTTTATTTAGAAACATCTACTCATGCAGATGTCTTTTTCCGGTTAGCTTTTCCTGTTGTGGAATTCTACTTATCACTGTTCTGACCTCATTAAATTCTTCTTTAAGAGCAGCGCCCTATCTTGAGAGAATTAAACTGTGATGCAAGAAAAGTACTCATGGTTATCTTGATTGCCCTCTTACTGATAAAGCAAATGGAGTTGGACTTCAGTAAGGCATTTAATAAAGTAGATCACAACCTACTACTTGACAAGATAGAAAAATGTGTAGACAGCATCATCACCAGATGGATCCGTAGCTGGCTGACCGGCCGCACTCAGCATGTGGTCCTCAATGGAACCGCATCTACATGGAGGGAAGTGTGTAGTGGGTGCCCCAGGGCTCTGTTCTGGGCCCAGTGCTCTTCAACATCTTCATCAACGATTTGGACAAGGGGATAGATGGGGAACTCATCAAATTTTCAGACGACATCAAGCTGGCAGGAATAGCCAACACTCCAGAAGATAGGCTTAAGATACAGAAGGATCTGGACAGACTTGAACACTGGGCACTATCTAACAAAATGAAATTCAATGGTGAAAAAAAGCAAGATTCTACATTTAGGCAAGAAAAACCAAATGCACAGGTATAATATAGGGGGTACCTTGCTCAATAGTAGTAACTGTGAGAGGGACCTCGGAGTCCTAGTGGACAATCACCTAAATATGAGCCAGCACTGCACTGCAGCTGCCAAAAAGGCCAACACAGTGCGAGGCTGCATTAACAGAGGGATAGAATCAAGATCACGTGAAGTGTTATTATCACTTTACAATGCCTTGGTAAGGCCACACTTGGAATATTGCATCCAGTTTTGGTCACCGTGATGTAAAAAGGATGTTGAGACTCTAGAAAGAGTACAGAGAAGAGCAACAAAGATGATTAGAGGACTGGAGGCTAAAGCATATAAGGAACGGCTGCTGGAATTGGGTATGTCTAGTTTAATGAAGAGAAGTTCAAGGGGGGACATGATAGCAGTGTTCCAGTATCTCAGGGGCTGCCCCAAAGAAGAGGGAGTCAAGCTATTTTCCAAGGCGCCTGAAGGCAGGACAAGAAGCGACGTGTGGAAACTAATCAAGGAGAAAAGCAACCTAGAACTAAGGAGAAACTTCCTGACAGTTAGAACAATTAACCAGTGAACAACCTGCCTCCAGAATTGGTGAATGCTCCAACACTGGAAGTTTTTAAGAAGAAACTGGACAGCCATTTGTCCGAAATGGTATAGGGTTTCCTGCCTGAGCAGAGGGTTGGACTAAATGACCTCCAAGCTCCCTTCCAACTTTACTATTATTATTATTATTATTATTATTATTATTATTATTAGGAATTGATAAAGGAAAATATTTGTCATTCAGGATTGAAATGAGAGATCCTTGGTGCTTTCTGAGCTTGGTTGTTTCCTTGCAGACATTTCATTACCAAACTAGGTAACATCATCAGTGCTAGTAAGGAATAGGGTTTGCTCTCAATTTATATTATGAGTTAGGAGTTTCTCCATCATCATTTTTCCAAGATAATATCAGGGAGAAAAATTGTTTGAATAGTCCAATGTACCTATACTTCCAGAGTAAGTCCTTCATTAACTTTGAACTCATCTTAACAATGAAATTTTACTCCAAAATTGTTATCTAACGGACAACCAATTCTGTTCTAGTGGACACATCTTCATTTTCCCCCCAACATTTATCTCAAAAGCAACCCCAACACTAAATTTTTACTTACACTTCTTAAAAGAAATAAGGCATTAATGTGTTGCAGTGTTTGGTGCCTCATAGTTGTAGTGTATCAAGTACATATATTTTTTTAGCTACAGGAGAATATATATTTTAGGTAATTAATACATGAAATGTTACATGTAATTTCTGGAGAAGAAATAGGGGCGTGAAGGCAGCTCTGTAGAATGAAGAGTTGGTGAGTAGCTAATTCCTCTCCAGACAAGGAAAGGACTTGAGATTACCCACAAGTGCTCCAGACAGTTGCTGCTCATGAAGAGACCACAAGACAGTGTTTTAATGTTCTGGGAAAAGGGGGAGTAGGCATTTTGCTCAAACCTTGGTTGAGTCAAGAGTGAAAATTTGGCAGCTAAGTGCCTCTCTATTTTCATCTTGCCAATATGAGTAAGTGGGGGGGGGGTGAGGTGTTGCTTTCGAATGGGTTAGTTAGAGAAATGAAACCTCTCCAGTTCTATGGAATCTTGCTGAGAGTCGGCAGTCTGGAAAACTTTCAAGCACATTCTAGCAGGTATGAAGAAGATAGCAGACATTTATAACATAACAAAGAGAACTTGTTTACATGAGCTACGTGGACACCTGGGGGTTTGGCTGGGAAAGTCACTGTTATATGCTACAGTCTGATGCCTTGGGATTTTAGAGTTTGTTTTACCTTACTGTAACCATGCTATGTATTCAATAAACAGTAAGCTTTTCAGAAATAAAATGATCCTGGATTTTTATTTGGATACGTCAAGCTGGATGTTGACTGGTTGATGTTTTTGAAAGTTTGTATACTTCCTTTTCTAATAATTTTCAGAAATAGCTTGTTAATTGCTTTTTAGTTATTTGGATCAACAAATTTTACAGCATCGGGTGAATTTCTCTCAATCTTTAGCCAAAGAAGTTTTAACTACCAGTTTAAGAACTTTATTTTTTTTTTTTATTAACCAGTAAAATGGTGATTAAAACTTTGATTTTAGAAAGTTACACTTGGACTAAAGATCCAGATAAATTGAAATAAGACGTTGGAATTGCCTGAAAAGAATTCTTCCCATGGGAAAGTGCTTATGTTTTTAATTCTTTTAAATCAGTGCTGATCTAATCTTTTAGATTAACACTGATTATCGATGATGTTACCTACACTAGTTGGCTAATTGAACATCTGTAAACAAACAACCAAGAGATAACCATGGACCCCACAGTTCAATCCTGAGCTTCAGATATTCCCTTCTATTTGTTCTTTCTGTTTGAAGGACTGTTCCACAAAATTAGCACCTGCACAAACATGTCTTCCATTTGATGATGGAATTTGCATTACATTTCTACTAAAATTATCTTCTGTATTTCTAAATCCACACCCATGCATTTAAAATGGCGTATGGAGATTTGATGCAGATCTTGTTTTTGTTGGTCGGGTTTCTTGTTAATGATTTTTTTTCTTTTCAAAGGATGATAGTAAATATTCATCACCCTACGCTCTCATCATTAGTACCAAACAGAAATCGCCACTCAGACAACAATGAAGATATTTAATTCCCATCGATTTCAACCGAGGGTTAAGCAGACACTTATATCATGTTGAAATCAATGGGAATTAAAGCACTTAATGTCGGTCCAAAAGGTGCTTTTTCAAAAGGCAGCTGGACTTTGTTTTTCCTTGAAGACATTTCACTTCTTATCCAAGAAGCTTCTTCAGTTCTGACTGAATGGTGGAGGATGGAAGGATTTATATTCCTTGCAGGCATCTGTTTTTTAGCACTCTTTGGGATAACCATGACCTGGATGACTGAGAATCTCCACAGACATTTCAGTCATTTGCAGTTATGAAATTATCTTGTTTAAATTTCTGGAAGTGGAGGTGGGATTTTGAGGTGGAAAACATGAGAACTGTACTGTAAATCCTCAAATAAACTTAATACAATTGAAATACACTCCTGGGTGAATTCTCGCACATTTTACTTCTCACCCCAGAATAAAAAGAGAAAATCCTACACCTGTTTACACACATAATGCAACCCTGTCTGTTTTGTACTATTAATCAAACTGCTGTGATTGCTGCTTGGAATTCCTCTCCCTGTGTACTGGATGACACCCCCATTCAGCAAAACCTTGCCCACCTCTAGATTAAACTATTTTATGAAAGAAGCCCAAGAAAGCCAGCACACAAGTGTTTAAGCCAAGGTTGTTCAACATTTTGGATATCAGGAAGTTAAACACAATTCACAGGTAAGACAATGCTGATACGTGTTTTGTCCTCGTGGTAACCTCCAGAGCTAGTTATTATTAAAGGTTCAAACACAAGTAGATAAGCTCCAATCTGTGCCTACTCCCTGCCCTCTTGTTCTCAGTGGCAAGATTAAGAGGAAAAAATGCCTCTTAAATATAGTTTACTTCTAAGTAAATCTGAGATTATTTTAAGGTATCTCAAAGTAGTTTGATTCAGGATTGTATGTTAATATTTATCAACAGAACAATTTCAAAAGTCTTGAAGGTTGTTGTCTAGAACTAACTTTCTGGTGGATTATTCCATTAGTTTCCCCAATCTATCCTACTTTTTAATTCATTACCTTCTTAGTATTTACCCAAATAAATTTAGAACTTTTGGAGTGATCAGCTGGGGAAAAAAACCTCTTCATACATACCTTTGTGCTGTATTATCCCTCAAAGAGAAGTCTCTTTCTCTAAAGACAAGCTAACCAATATGTCACCTGCACATGAAAGAGGCAAAGATCCTTTGATGTGATGACCTGCTGCTTATATTTGGAGAAGATAATTGATGGTTACTTTAATTGATCTTAGCCTGATAAAGCACAAAAACAGTCATTAGTCCTGCATGACAAAATAGTAAATTAGATGTTGAGGTGATTCTCTCTTGCATAATGACAAAAATAGAATGGGTTGGTGTCACATTCACTATGGTATTACACACCAGCAATAATCTGTTCCTATATTTATAGACATTTATCCTGCAGTTCTGCTATTGGGGGAAAAAATGTAACTTTAAATTAATTTAATCTGATAAATTTAACATTAAAATACATTGGTACGATTAATCTATTTTTAAATGCTCCCAAATAAGAATAGAAGCACACAAAACTAAACTGGAATACTCCGTTCCTGAAGAAATATAATCTACATGTTCTCAGCAGCTGACTTAAAAATATGAGTCAGCTTTGCTATATTGCATCTCTACATCTCCCTTACTAATGACACTAAAGTCATTAGTAAATGAAACTTTATTGTTCTTGTGTTATTGTTCTTGTAGAATGAGCAATGGATCTCCACAGGGTTTGGTCAAAGAAATCAAGATGGCAGCTGTAATGGTACAATAGAAATTCTGATACACATATTCATAACATCCTCTCTAGTTGAAAGCTGATTAATATAATGTGACAATACTAATATCTCATCCCTTACAAAACAGGCCAAAAGAATTTTAAATTATTCAACTACTAAATCTATTTACAAATTTTTAGTCTGTTGTCTGTATACTATATTAATAAAAAAAAATAGTTAACAGGGACCAATATTTAACACGAAAAATCAATTTATGGGCTAAGGCAGTGATGGCGAACCTTTTAGAGACTGAATGCCCAAACTGCAACCCAAAACCCACTTATGCATCGTCGAGTGCCGGGTGGGTGTGGCCCATTGGCTGGGTGTGGCCAAGTGGGTGGGCATGGCTGTGGTCGTAACGGCAGACTAGGTGGGACTAAAAAGTTCAATCAATCAATTCCAACTTTGCAAGATCTTTTTTTTCCCGTGAGAAGTTGAAATTGACTGATTGGACTTTTTTTTTTGCACATGGCGGTGGAGGCCTAAAGCGAAAAGGTTTTATAAAACCCAGCTGAAGGCCTAGGACTGGGGCGACGGCACGCGTGCCCACAGAGAGGGCTCTGAGTGCCGCCTCTAGCATCCGTGCCATAGGTTCACCACCACTGGGCTAAGGGAAATATTCCACTTCCAAAGTCAATTGTCTTTTGAAAAGTTCAGCCATAATGACAAAGATCTGATATCACTAAGTCACATTTTTAAAATATTTATTGCAAACTGCCTTTGAATATTTTCCAGCACTCAATTTTAACATAAACTTACCCTTAAGTCCATTCCACTTGTGTAAACTTTGGAAGATATATAAACCAAAGGCAAATGGGTAGCCAGTTCTTATTACAAATAGTCCTCAACTTACAACTGGTTGCTTAGTGATCATTAGAAGTTACAATGGATCCCCCCCCCCAAAAAAAGTTATAATCCAGTTCCAAAAGTTCTGATGGCCAACCCCCGATGACTACATTTTGGGTGATCGACAAAAGGTCTGAATTTATGACAGCAGTTTCCCATGGTCACATGACTGCAATTTACAATTTGTTTACCAAACACCAGCATTTTCTTCTGGTTTTCTACAAAAAAAAGGCCCCATAGTGAGCCATGGGTTTGCTTAATGACTACTGCATGTGCTTAACAACTGCCAGGCTGGCTTAATGACCCATCGCAAAAAATTGTAAAATTGGTGTAATGACCTGCTTTATAAGCATCTTGACTTATGACCATCAATGGGCAGGCTCCATTATGGTCATAAGTTGAGGACTTTCTGCATTATAAATATCTTACAGCCCCATCTTCAAACCCCTAAAGTGGAAGTGTTGAGATGGTTTAACTTTCTTTCTACAAGAAAGCAGCTTCTGATAGGAAGAAAACAAATGACTGAATTGTAATTGTTAAATGACTACTTAGGACAGGGGTAGGCAATCTTGGCTCTTTTATGACTCGTGGACTTCAGCTCCCAGAATTCCTGAGCCAGTATGGCTCAGCTTGGAAACCTCTCCCTTTCCCCTCAGCATGGCTGGCTCAGGAATTCTGGGAGTTGAAGTCCATGAATCACAAAAGAGCCAAGGTTGCCTACCCCTCATTTAGGACAAACACAATCCCTTCTTCAAACATGTCCCATTTGATAATCTGGATGGGCTTGGTAAAAATGTTGTGACCATTGATTAGTATCCATGCTGCTTCCTACATTTCCTGCTCGTTTTTTTCCAGGCTCACCAAATATTATATCTGCATGCTGCTGAAGTTAAGCTGTTAGACTGGAAGTGTGAACAGCAAAGCTGAGGTCCAGCCTTAGCCATGAACTTACTGGATGATTTTGGCCAATCACTTTTTCTCAATCAATATTCTTCATAAGGTCCCAAAGGTATATACATAGCTGAAGCCATGCTATTCGATTAAAGATTCTTTAAGGTAAACAATGCCTCAAAGTTCTTTGAAGAGTTTCATCTTTCGGAACCAGGACAGGTGCTTTTTCAGAGGCAATTGGACTTCATTTTTCCTTGAAGAATTTTACTTCTCATTCAAGAAGCTTCAGTGTTATGAACTGAAGAAGCGTCTTCAACGAGAAGCAACATGCCTTCAAGGAAAAACATAGACCAGTTGCCTTTTGAAAAAGCCCCTTTGGGACAACCATGACCTGGGTGACTGAGAATCTCCATTGACATTCTTTGTAAGGTTTTTGTTATAAGTATAAAATGGAAAGCCAGAGGCGGCACTCAGAGCCCTCTCTGTGGGCACGCATGCCATTGCCCCAGTCCTAGGCCTTCAGCTGGGTTTTATAAAACCTTTTTGCTTTAGGCCTCCATCGCCATGTGCAAAAAAAAAAAAAAAGGTTCAATCAGTCAATTTCAACTTCTCACGGGAAAAAAAAGATCTTGCAAAGTTGAAATTGATTGATTGAACTTTTTAGTCCCACCCAGTCTGCCATTACCACCGCAGCCATGCCCACCCAATGGCCACACCCACCTGGCATTTGATGATGCATAAGTGGGTTTTGGGTTGCAGTTTGGGCACTCAGTCTCTAAAAGGTTTGCCATCACTGGCCTAATGTTAATCCATTAAGAACTCTTGAGGCAAAGATGATACAGGTAGTTCTTGAATTACGACAGTTCATTTAGTGATCATTCAAACTACAATGTTACTGGTCTTGTAATCAAAACTCAGTGTCCCGGGGTCATGTGATCAGCTTTTGTGAACTTCTGACAATCCAAGTCAGTTCACCAGATTCACTTAACAACTGCAACTGTGGCAAGAAAGGTCGTAAAATGGGGCAAAACTCACTTAACAAATCTTATTCTAAAAAAACTAATCGACTCAATTTTGAAGGGCAACATATTTACTCATAAACTATGTACAAAATTTACTTTCAAATGAACTGATGATACATAAGCTGCCGGTTTTCTCAAATCTGATGCCATCAGGATATAGACAAAGGAGACGAATTATGAAACTATGGATACTCCAAAGTTATGCACTGAGCTACACCATTTAATGGTGTCACCAATCCACCCCATTGATATTTCCTGACAGTTAGAACAATTAATCAGTGAAACGACTTGCTTCCAGAAGTTGTGGGTGCTCCAACACTGGAAGTTTTTAAGAAGAGATTGGACAACCATTTGTCTGAAATGGTATAGGGTTTTCTGCCTAAGCAGAGAGTTGGACTAGAAGACCTCTAAGGTCCCTTCCAACTCTGATATTCACTTATTCTGATATGTTGAGATTTCAAAATGCCATTGCCTTTAGTAGTTAAAAGGATACCAATTGACGCTACTGAGAAAACAAGAACAGATTTAAATATTTATTAAAAGATTTTAAACAACAAAAAGCCAAAAATAAATTCAAAAAGCCACACTCTACAGAAAGGCATTCTGTTCTGGGTTGATACTACTTGGTCACACTATATTTATTGTTTTTTTTCTGCACAGAGGATGTGACAGGAGGGCAGTTGTGAAAGGCAGGGAATTCACCATCAGCTTCATCCATTCAGAGCTGGGCTTGGCAAATAATCCATGTGAAACAAGCACAGAAAGACAAAATTAGCAAGCATTAAGTGTTTTTATTCTCTGCGTCAGCTGAATCAAAGGCAGGGCATCATATTTATCAGAGGACATCATTAAAGCTTGACAAAGAATTGGGGGAAAAAAATCCTCAATGAAATTAATACCACAGAAATTACCTCAGCGTTATTCTTAAAAGTGTACTTGCCACACCTCACCGAGATATTATTTCTGTGAATAATTGTGCAATTCACACTACTCTTGTTAGGCTGCATAGTTTTGTGGCTGGAGGGATAGGCAATTATTCTTGGGGAGGGGAAGGCTTACTCAAGACAGCTTTTGTGAATGCAAAATCGCACAAACAAAACCTTTGAAGGGCTGCTATACTTTGCTGGTTTTGGCTACTGGAAAATTTGCTAGTCATGTTTTGTCACTAAGGTATAAAATGTTAAGCCACTTGTTTTTTAATGTTTATTAAATGCATTTATATAGCAGCCCAGCTCACACATAGGCAACTCCTATGTGGTATCTGAAATTAATTTGTATATTATTAATTTGTATATTATTTAAGCATTACAAATGTATATTCATAATCATCTGGAGACACTAAAATAAGAATGTCTGAAGTATCTACAACAGTTTTACATATGGCCTGGGGCAGGGGTAGGCAATTATGACTCGTGGACTTCAACTCCCAGAATTCCTGAGCCAGCTGGCTCAGGAATTCTGAGAGTTGAAGTCCACAAGTCATAAAAGAGCCAAGGTTGCTTACCCCTGGCCTGGGGAAGAGAATCAAATTACAAAAATTACAAAAAATAAAAGCAGCAGCATTTATTTTTTTTTGTAATGTGATTCTCTCCTAGAAACTAAAGGTAACCTGGAATTAGCTGCTCA